GCAGAGAGAACAGATTAGTGAGTGCTCAGTAAATCTTTAATTAGTATGATTGATTCTTGCTTTTATATTTAGATTTTCCGGATTTAAATGCAGAAACCAATCGTAATAAAAATATCATTAAACACACACTGATCTGTTTTATCTGTTATATCATCACATCAATCGATCGATATACACATCGATCGGAGCATGTGTCGTGAGGCTGCAAATCCTAGCGCTCTAGCGTCTCTTGCGTCAGAAATTGTAAAAGTACACTTCCCCCATTCCGCAACTGGGCGACGACGACGACAACGACGATGATAATATTGATAATAATGATGAGGACGTTTCTTAAATCTTAATTCTCACATTTCGGACTTTGGATTGCAAAATTTCCGCTCGTAGGGCACGTAGAGAAAAAATAAAGACTTTTATTATATAAATCGAACCCAAGCTATCGATTAAGCCTAGTTAGAACTTAATCGATTTGACCGTTATTGAGATCTCAAAATTTCGGATGCTCGCAACGCGACGGTTAAGAGACCCGGCATGGCTTGACATATATGACATATCATTTTTATATACATATATATTTTATATTATATTTTATTTATATTTATAGTTTTTTAAACACTTGACACCAAGTCACCAAACAACCGTGTTTCCTGATGAATAAAATTGCAAAATAAAGCTTGAAATATCTACTTTAAGAATATTTAAACGATAATTACAAACGGTCATTTTTTCAAAATGGAGGGCAAAATGAGACGATGCAAAATTGATGATTGAACAGTGTTACTGCAAAATTCTCGAAGTGCGACCATACGTTTCTCGAAGATTTTTTCGCGCTAAACACGATGCCGTTTGAAGAATTCGCCTAGCACGTTAGGATTTTGAGTAAATTAGAATGAGAGTTGTCAAAAATGGTATTTTTGGCAATTTTTAACATTTTCTTGCGGCAAAACGGAAACTGGTTTTTAAATGAACTCAATGGTTTTTAAATGAACTCTGAAAGTAATCATTCAAGAAGTAAAGCCGAAGTTCTTTGACCATTTTCATTCCAATTTACTCAAAATCCTGACGTGCTAGGCGAATTCTTCAAACGGCATCGTGTTCAGTGCGAAAAACACTTCGGAAAACGTATGGTCGCAGTTCAGAGAGAATTTTGCTGTAACACAGTGTTATCAATTTTGTATCTTATTTTGTAATCCGCCACTTTGAAAAAAACGATTGTTTGTAATTATCGTTTAAATATTCTTAAAGTGGATATTTCAAGCTTTATTTTGCAATTTTATTCACATTTTGATTATTTATCAAGTTATGATTCTTTCAAGTTTGATAAATTTTATCTAAATTTTTAGTGTGCCGCTTCTTTTTGGGAGGGAATGTATATTAAGAAAATTATAATTATTTTGTTATTTTTATTAAAAAATCGATAAGTTGACCAAGAAATCTGAAAGAATATTTAGTTCAGGATTTTAAGATATCTTGTATAGTATACTATTAGGTGTATGTAAAAGTTTTAATCTTTCTTTTAACGCTCTGATATTATTTATATAGTATTTTTGGTATAATTAAATTGTTTTTTTTGCGTTTTTGAAAAATTAAAAAAACAGAAGATTATTTACTGGACAATTAAACCGGAAGGTCATACATGACAACGTTAGATTGCGTGTTGCTCTTCATATTCACTAAACTATTTTTAATTTGGATTGGAGAGTTTTCTTCAAACAGTGTATTTACCATACTTGGTGCCTTCGAATTATCACTTATTTTGGTCGATGCAACATTTTTTATCTGATTGTGAGAAGCATTTTCGAGATGTAATTAAGATACAAAAATATTTTTTTCATAAAGGAATCCGATATTTACTTGAGAAATGACAAAAAATCACAGAAAGCAAGGACAAATATTTTAATAACATATTGTATACAATACGGATTTAAAGCAAAAACGCGCAAGAAGACTAAAACATTTGCATATACTTAATATAAATTTACATGTATTAATTATGTGATAAAATTATTTTGCAGAACAAAGAAGGTGATGAAACAAACACTACCGTTGACAATGGTGACGATCCATCATTTGGCAAATGTTACATAGCTACGCAAGGTTGCCTTCCAAATACTATACAAGATTTTTGGCACATGGTGTACCAGGAGAATACTCGTGTGATTGTTATGACTACCAAGGAAATAGAAAGAGGAAAGGTATGTGAATTCTAAAATTTTAAAAGCTTATAGATAGAATGTTAATTTTTGGCACATTCTTTTTTTTTAGAATAAATGTGCGCGGTATTGGCCGGAAGAAGGAGAAACTTCCGAATATGGTAACGAATGGAAAGTACGTGCTGTATCTCGAACTTCAACCGCTGATTATACACTGCGCGAATTTCTTTTACAAGGAACCAAACCGGAGTTTTCCGAGTCCAGAAGAATTTATCATTACCACTTTCAAGTAATGTATCTAATACATATGCATACTCTTAAAACACTGAATAAATTTATAAGTTATTAATTTACAAGTAACATTTGATTTTTTATTTAATTACATATTTTTAAGAGGAATTTTATGAAATATATTTTATTGAATATTTGTTAAATATAATAAACACTTGTCCTATTTAAAAGAGTTATATAGAATAAGAGCAGAATTAAATTTCTGTATTTAATTTATAGGCATGGCCTGATCACGGTGTTCCATCAGATCCTGGTTGCGTGCTGAACTTTTTACACGATGTAAATGCCAGGCAAGAATTGATTGCGGCATCTTTGGCTCCAAAGGATCAGGATGAACCGTGCATAGGACCAATTCTCGTCCACTGTAGTGCTGGAATTGGTAGAACTGGTACATTTATCGTTATCGACATGATTTTAGATCAAATTAAACGTCATGGTAAGTATG